ATGTGTACAATAAAGAGCTTTATATCCAAGAGCAATTGAATATTGAGAAAACATCCCAGCCCAGTCCAGATCAATTCCCAAAGTCTGATATTAGCCCATATGTCTGATACCAATCTATAAAATCTTCTTCAGACTCGTGAAACACAGGCAATGATGCCAAATGAAGGATGACCACAGGCCAATGGGTAGGAAATCTTGTGGATCCAGTGGCATTGTAAGCATCTCAGCCCTGGGAGGGGTCTCTACGTGAATTCTCCAGGTCCAGGGCTCTTGTTTCCATTAGCATAGCTCCCTGTCTCTTGTCAGTACCGACTCTCTCAGAGAGTGAGCAGTGAGGGAGTGTATCCCCCATCTCCAAGGAGGAATAAAGGAGTTCCCAGAATCCTAAGGAGAAGGCCATGCCCACACTGAGACCTCATTGACTATGACCTGATTGACAGACTAGATTCCATTCCTTCACTCTTAATCCTCTTAAATTGACAAATGAGTATATAACTACCACAGGCCACCCCTTGTCAATTTGACACTTTCACATAACTCTTTAGCCAAATATAATTTTCAAAGAAACAATAATAAAATCATATCTGTACCTAATAGGATAAAACTAAAATGTATACAATTCAAAAATGTGCCACCTTCTTTTAAATATGACATTCCACCAGTGAACAAAACAAAAATAGTCTATACTGATGTGAATATTTACACCTTAATCCTATAAGCCTCTGAATATATTCCCCCACCGATGAAAGCTTGTAAACCAACCACTTCATGCTTTTATCCTCCAATTTTTGGTATCCAATTTCTGTACTGCCCACTTAAAGCAATTCAGTGCTCTGAGGAGACTGTCATATTTGATGTGAAGAATCAACATTCCAATTGGAACCTTGTGAAGTCCGCATCCATAAGCAAAGTCAAATTAGGGCAGGCCATCCAAAAAGTCAGGGGAAACATGCACCCGTTCACAGGCCCTAAAATCTCTTCACCTGGTCATATTCTGGTCAACTCAATGTGGGCTACCTCCCTTAGCCTCACCAGGGTGCCCATTGGCCTCCTTGCCTTTAAGCCATGGGCCCCATCACAAAATCTCAACAAGTCTAATCCCCTTGAGCTAGGTCATGAACTTCAGACCAGTCAACCTGCTCTCATCTTTTCCTCTAGTTCCTGTAAACCAGGTCCACAGGTGTCAGTAGCCCAATTCAATCTGTCTCTCTACTGTTGCTTTTCTCCCACTTCCACGCAACAAGTGGATCCAGGTGGTCACCTAGCAAGCATTTCAGTTTGCCCACAGGCTCCCTTTAATATTCACTCCTAGAGAGGAGTTTTCTTCATGGTTCCAGATTTTTTTCAGTTTCTGACAAAATCACTAGTTCAAACTTCAAAAACCCGAAGAGTTCATTTTTCCATCAATCTGTCAACAATCCCCTAGGCAGGTCTCTTGGAATGCAA